AAAAAAATGATTGATTGATTGGTTTGGGCTCGTGGGGAAGGAAGGGGCCACCCCGCCACAACCAATGAGTCAACCAATCAATCACTCAATAAATAAATATTTATGAAAAACTTAAAAAAAGGACAAAATCAAGGGGGGTTTCCAAAATGTTTCCCCCCCCTATCTTCTACAATTTGTTTTTGTTTTTTAATACTTAACAGAGCAAAGCGAAAATTTAGGGGTAGGTGCGCTAGGATATGGGCTATCTACAAACCAAATTCAAAGAAAAAAACAATTGGCCCCGAAATGGGGTTTGGCGGGGCCCGAAGCCCTTCGGGAACGGCCCCCGAACGCCTCCCCGAACGACTGAACATTCGGGGGTCGGGCCGGGGGCCTCTGAACGGAGGGTGGGGTAACCCTGACAGTCACAGTATTGAAGTTTGTACTTTGTAAATGAGTCTGTATATTACAATTATAATATTGTTATACCATAATTGTAATATACTCTGTAAGAAAACAAAAGCCTGCAACAAGTCCCATTAGCCACTTCCGGACACAAAAAAAGAGAAGAAAAAAAGGCCTGAAAAACCCCCAAAACAATTTTGGAAGTTTGGCTCCTCAGTGGGGAAGGGTCCTGGACCTTTTCCCCCCCCTTGAAATTTGGCAGATCCAGACCTTCCAGACCGGATGTCTGGACTCCAGACTGAATCCCGACCATCTGGACGGTGGCCCGGATGTCCAGATCGTAGCCATGGTTTATACTATGAGCGAGCCCATATCGTTTGTTTACAGCCCATATCTTTTGTTTACAAAGTTTTCCACTATGTTGCTTGTGGTGATGCGGCGGAAATGACGAATTTTAGCCCTGCGTCAACCATAAACAGGTCAAGACATGTCACATGCAGTCACTCCCGACCTTGTTTCTCTTCAGCCATTCATTCAGGGCGAGTAGGATCGGCTTTTTCCCATTTGGCCATCACCGCCCTGCCCCACATTTTCCCATTTGGCGATCACCGCCCTGCCCCAAATTCCTCAATCAGGTTGCTGCTCCATTCCAAGCCGGCTCCATTTTGCTCTCCCTTCAATGGTCGGGCTATCGACTTTCTTCCTCCAACTGCTTCCATCACTCATCCGGTCATTCCACCATTCCCTGCAAGACTCCACAGTCACTTTGGCCGAAGATGAAGGGAAGATGAAGGGAGATGGGGCGGTCTAGGAGGCATGTTGGTCTGCAGCTTCATTTGGGGCGACCGCTTCTCTGTGCGATCCAACAGCACTTGTGGACTTCCATTTCCTTATTTATCTGGATTTGTCCTGGGCAGCATTTGTCCCAAACGGGTGCCGTGGGCTGACCCTTCTTTGGGAGTGGGCGATTGGTGGGTGACATTCCAAGAAGTTGAGTCGGCCAGGCGGTTGGAGTGGTTGAGTTTGCTGTGCAGCTGGAGGCCTTCGATTGCCTTCATCCAGGATTGTTATTTGCTTCAGTTTCGGTGCCCCATGCTGCAAGAGAGATGTGCAGCAGGATTTGGTTGGGGTCATGCTGAAAGGCTGATACTTAGCATTCACATGGTTGCTTCAAGTCTCATCAGGTCGAGGGGTTGTGGGGCTGTGTGAAGGGGACTCACCTAGGGTGGACCATCCCTGGCTGTCTGGTCCTCCCGGAGCTGGGACCCTCTTTCCCCTCACACGACCTCCTCCTCCCTGCCCGACCTCCTCCTCCCCCTCGCACGTCCTCTTCCGACCTCCTCCTCCCCCTTGTGCAGCTGCAACCTCCTCCTTCCCCTCTTCCAACCTCCTCGTCCCCCTCGCGCGACCTCCTCCCCCTCGTGCGACCTCCTCCCCCTCGCGCGACCTCCTCCCCCTCTTCTGACCTCCTCCTCCCGCTTGCACGACCTCCTCTTCCCCCCTCGTGCGACCTCCTCCTCCCATTATCGCCACCTCCAGGGGCGGGATGGTGCAGCCCGCGCCGGGATGCACCTGCCTGCAGCAGTCCGCGCCCGTGGTGGAACACCAAAAACAAAAAAACTCGACTGCGTTTGCCACTCCCCCCGCTTCCACGACATTCCACCACTTCTTTTTCCCGCTGGCTTCAGGCCTGCCCCCTCGCTCGCCCGTGGCATCGTGCCCGGAACTCAATGCCCGTTTTTTCCTGGGCCCGGGGGGGCGTCATGCTGGGACCGCTTCATTTTTTAAGATATAATAATATAATAAAATAATAATAAAGAGAAGAGAGGCGAAGAGAAGAGATATGCTAATCCTGTAGACCTTTCCACCTTGTGGGCGCCAGATCAAAAGCATCAGCAACCAGGGGCTAGGTCCCACTTACACGAATTAAGCAATGTTGACCGTAGATAGCAAAGATCAACGGCCAGAATCTCTTAATCCGTGCAAGTGGGACCTTGCCCCAGTGCAGGATGGGCTTCCCCTTCTAAGGGCACATCCCAAGTCCAATACGTTCTGAGCATTCTGCAACTGAAGATAACAGAGACTTTGATAAACCCCTTCTAACTGAGTCAGTTTATTGTTCTTACTGTTCAGGTCCTCCGACATCATTTTTGGACTTCCATTTTCTTATTTATCTGGATTTGTCCTGGGCAATAGTGCCACAAAAGAACAGGGTTCAAAGTCCAAACTCTTGTATGGCTACCGGAGGGTTACTCGGCATTTGGCGGTAGCGAAATCCATTCCAATGGTCTCAGATAGGGGTCGGCGACCGTGCAATGCCTTCTACGATGCCCCTCACGACCAGCATATGGGGACCGACCGCACCAGTCGTTGATCTTGCCTGTGGTCAGAGAAGGACATTCCATGGCCATGGCCATCCGCAGTGCCTACAAGCGTGCGGTATCGTGCGGCAATGCCTATCAGAACACAAAGGATGGACACGTGGCGACCAAAGCAGTGTGTGCTTCCGGCTCTTTTCTGGAAGGAAATCGGTGACATGGCAGGGGCGATGCAGACTCCGGCGCGCTTTTGGACACCTTGATGGGGTGACGTGGCTGCCGGTAGACGGTCATGGTGCCATGTGGCAAAATGCGGCAGGCCGGCGGATCCCCCTGTCGGACTTGCCGCGACGAGCAGGCAAGGACGGGCGACCAACAGGGGCGGGGAGTCCCTCGCGCCCTGGCCGAGCTGCATGGCGATGGCGGAGAGCTGCGCTTGGCGGGGAAGCTATGGACGAGCAGAAGCGGGAAGAAGGAGAAGAGGAAGGAGGACAAAGGAAGGTGACGATGGAGGATGAAAGTTCCCAGCAAAGGCGGTTTTCCGCTAGGGGCGCGCCATCAGCAACAGTGGAGGGGGAGGTGGAGGCGGAGCCTCTGCCCGATGGGGGGAGGACAACGGGCCAGCGAGCGTGTGCAGGCGGGGGTGTCAAGCTCGCGGAGCCTGTGGTACGGGCATTTGCGGAGCCGTGGGAGAGGGCGATCGTAGCCATCATTGGCATCGGGATCCTCTGGAGTGCCGCCTGGCTGTGCAATCTGGGTGCTGCGGGTCTTGTGGACGACACAGAGCCACTTTTCGCGGAAGCTGCACGCCAAATGTAAGTCCCACATGGCCAACCAACTGACTGCGTGCCAAATGTAAGTCCCACGTGGGGGGAAATGGAAAATGGAAAAAGAGGTGGAGGGGGAGGGAGGAAAGGGGGCGGGTGGGAAATGTGAGTGTCCCTGCCGCGCAAGTGGCGGGAAAGTAAAAGGAGAAGCTCGCTCTGTGAAGACGCACACAAAAGTACAAGTAATGTTTCGTTTTGACATTTTTGTGAACCAAAAAAAGAAGTGATGTCGCTCATTGCTACTCTGCGTCTCTCTCTCTTCTCTTTTTTTTTTTGTTCGCCATCATCAATTCCTCCCCCTCTTCTCTTTTGGTTGATCGTGTTCCATGCCTCATCCGATGTCAGTACACACATGCCTCTTTTTTTTTTTTTTTTTTTTTTTTTTTTTTTTTTTTTTTT